ATCGAGGACATGTTGTTAGGAAAGTGACAGTGTGACCACATACACGAATCACAGGATTCCCCTTCTCTTACGAGAAGGGGACAAAGAGTTGTCCGCCCTTTTAAAAAAGGGCAGACTTTAAATATGCCATTTTCTTATTATTGTTAATAAGCAGGCTAAACTTAAATATGTATTGAATAGGTTTATATACAACAATAGTAACGCAAAACAAGCGGGATATCAGTTTACGTCCTTTGAAGTCCGCAATGAAATTTTAAAAATATCATATTTAATTTCTTGGAAAATTTTGAGTTTACAGTTTTTTCTATTTTTCATTCTTTATATATAATAGAATTATTTTATTTTTGCAAAACATTAACGTTTCATAAACGTTTGATATGTATTGCAGATATATTTCACACTGTTTTCAAATATTAACCTGGGGGCATTTTTGCCAAAGTACGCATTTAATTTTCTATATTCGACTAATTCTACTTGTGAAGAAAAAGTATATTAAACTTGAATATCTGACAACTCTGACACTGATAAGACTGTACTTATCTTACCTGCTGAATTTGTTAAATGCACTTTTCAAGCTTACATTTTTTAGAACTCTTTGAATATCAAGATAAAAATTTCTAAAGTTAGTTACATTTGTAGCCATAAGTACAGAGTCGGTTCAGTCTGTACGGATGTGCAACTTTGCATACATGTATGTCTATACTAGTAAAATTATGTCGGTGCATATTTAAAAAATGCTTTTAATTTATGCTCATTTAAAGTTTAAACAAATTCTATTATACAGTTTTCAGTCTGTCTATATGTCTTTGTAACTGTAGCATATGCCTTTATACTTTCATTTGTTATATTTTCTCACTTCGAACGCCTGTTACATTCTCAAAAAAAGACACACTGGATACGTGACCTTTGCATCAATGGAATTTGGAAAACTGTAAAAATAATAACACATATAGTATAATACCTTTAATACAGAAAAAAACACAAGCAAACATGCGTGTAGATTAAAGGTCGACACAAAATATAAAAAATTATGATCTGAGATTAAATTTTAATTGAATCTTTCTAGAATAAACTTCTCTGTGGCGTGTTAGATCCACCTCATGCTGGTGTTGTAGCTCTGGTCCATGGCATCTCGATTGCTAAATGAAAATCGATATACAATGTGCTTTATGGTCGTCAATTTATAATACCGATTAAGATGACTTCAATTTCAACCAATTATTATGTACTTTCGGCACAAGTTTTGATGGTTCATATAAGTAATGCCAACGTATGTTTTTAAATGCATCACTTGAACCGGTGTTCTTACAAGTTCTATTCTGCATTTATTGTTGTATTGCAAAAAGCTTAAAATAACACTGCACAATGGTAAATTTATCTGTACCAAATCTTTGTCTTTTTCATTTTTTATTACGAGAGGCAAAAATTACTTTTTAAACCATGACAAAAGTTATATCTAAGAATTTTGTTACATCTATAGATCTGTATTTAAGATTGCATGTGCACGATCTTTTTTGAAGATGTCTTGTTATATCGGTTTACGAAGGTTTTGGGTCCAGTCAAATTGTTTTTAATCGACAAGAAAACTAACTTCTACCATTATAATATTTATACATTCATAGGGTATAAAAGTTGTCTAAATTCTATGATCATCAGATTACAATTTAAGACATCAGTGATCAGTCACTATTCATTGTTTAGGAAACGGAATCTATAAAAAATACCACTTCAATATTAAGACCACATTATGCCGGTCCAAATGGTGTCTTATTACCTGAATCTTACTGTACTAAACTCCTTAAAATTAACTTTGTTAGGTACATTAATTTTTTCACGGTCATGCTTTTAACTAGTACTGTCAATACAGTACATTCCTTATTTGCACTTAAACTGATAAAATATGAAACAAAAATGTGTTTCTTTTTTCAACCAGGATTATTTATTAATGTCTGCCATATTATTACACAATTAATGATCAATTGATTTCAATGAAAATAGTCTACTGATTGTAATTATCTAGTTATAGATGATAAACTTAGTACACTTATAATAGGTCATCTAGCCAATGGTGTATGAGCACATTTATCATGGTCCCCTGATTTGTGATGAGTATTTGTTACAACTTAAACAAATCTTAACAGTGGTTTTTGTAACGTTCTATCAATTATTAATACACATACATTTTATTCATATTCATTCATAATAGTTTTAGTCACTTGTCTGTTAAAGCGGTCTTCAGGTTTTATTTCTGTTGGAAAAAACAGTATTTCTGAGTATTTATCTTGGAAAAAAACATCGCTTCACCGTAACCCGTCCTCAAAACAGCGTCCCGAGGACTATTTATAACGCACCAGTGACGTTCGTTTCTTAAAAAAGAAGATCGCCTCTTTTACTAATTTAAATGTAGAGAACGGACCGGTAGATTAGAATTTTCGTGACGTTGGCAGCCTATCAGCCTGAAGTTGGCAGCCTAGCAGCCTGGAGTTGTCAGCCTAACAGCCTGAAGTTGGCAGCCTAGCAGCCTAAAGAAAACTAAGAATAGTACAAACATAAAAACCGTCGGAAATGAATCGGTAGCACATACTTAAACCATTCCACGTCTTATTTCAATATCGCGATCTTTATTTTTTAAAACTTTATATTTTTTTTTGACGCTTCGAAATTTGTGAAGTTAGCAGCCTAGCAGCCAAGCAGCATCAAAATGAAAAAAAAAGTTCAATATTTCAAAAAATAAAGATCGCGATATTGAAATAAGACGTGGAATAGTCAAAGTATGTGCTACCGATTCATTTCCGACGGTTTTTATGTTTGTACTATCCTTAGTTTTCTTCAGGTTGCTAGGCGGCTAGGCTGCTGGGCTGCTATGCTGCTGGGTTGCTAGGCTTGTGGGCTGCTAGGTTGCTAACTTTACAAATTTCGAAGCGTCAGAATGAAAAAAATATGTTAAGATAAAGTTCTACATCTTAAAAAATAAAGATCACGATATTGAAAAAAAGGCGTGGAATGATATAAAGAAGTGCTACTGATGTATTTCCGACCATTTTCATGTTTGTACTATTCTTAGTTTTCTTTAGGCTGACTTCAGGCTGCTAACTTCAGGCTGCTGGGCTGCCAACTTCAGGCTGCCAACTTCAGGAACATAAGATTAGAGGTCATGAGGGGTTTCTTTATTGTGTATGTATTTTATCGTCGTCAGGTTTCATTTTCCACCTTAATTCTTTTGATTTGACAATTACAATTATATGAAACGATTTATCTAAACATTACATATTAAACCGTAAGAATGGCCATTATAGGCCGCTTTTAAAAACTAAATGGATTGTTTTTTTTACGTTGGTTGCAGTGCAATTTTTCATGGTTATTATTATCATTATTTGTTGGAATTTACAAATAATGGATATTACAGTTATTAGATTATGGCTCTCTTTTTCCAAATATGTACAATTGACAATGCATTTTAGTATAAAGTACTATATGTATAACAATGATATTGCAATATTTTTGTTTAAAATGCTTAAAGGAGCTTCACATAGGTCAAAAAGCCTAAAAATATATAAAAATGAAATTTTTTCATAGATCAAACACTAAGATTTGATAAATCTGCTAAGAATAAAAAAGATAGAAAAATGCTTAGAATTTTAATTAAAAATCAACTTTTGTGGGACTACTAGTCTGATTTAAATGAAAAGCTTTGCAACGACTTCCATTTTTTTGGCCATTTTGCACAATAAAAGCGATGATTCTGGAAAAAACGGGGTGAGGTAATAATCGTAATAATCATAAAATTTGCACACACGTAATCGGATCAACCCTGCATCAAATGGTACAAACATTTCGGAAAATATTTCCAGTCCTGACAATCAGATAACTTTAGTTGAGTCCCATTAATGGCATTAAAAATGCCTTTTCAGCATTTAGTGGGATGTATGTGTCAGTATCAGTATCCAAGAACACGTTCTGATATGAAGTGTTCTAATCTGAACACAACGTGTTCAATAAGTGTTCCCAGTCTTATAACATCCATACCTTTAAACGTGTTCTAAGTGTTCAATATATTATGTAGCATTGGATTTGAACACGTGCGGCATTAAAGAGTAGAGTAGAAATGCCGGTGATATTCATAAATAGAATGTTTTGGTGTTAATAACTTGAAGATTTGAGTTTTTCTTTGAACGCACTCAGTGTTTAAAAACAGAACACTTCAGTGTCAACACATGGAAACTGACGCGTTCACTATCTGTTGCAATTTTGTTCTTTAAACAGTGCTCGTATTCTGAATTTGTATTTACATTGTATAAAGCCTATATCAGGCGAACATTTTGTTGGCTTGTTCTTAAGACCAACGCTATGGGCCTTATATTGCCGTAAAAGATAGCCTCAATGATATTGCACTATACAATGCGCAACGAAATTATACCAATGAGTTTATGACGGCGGACTGAGGAAAGTCATGCCTTTTACGAATGTTAAAAGATTTTTTTTATTTAGAAAGAATAAATCTCTGAACAGCTAGCTAACGCCAATGCCACGCCCACATCAGCTGGTTATGTTCCTTGGACGAGCGTCAAGTTGATTAAATTGCTGTAAACTACAGCTTCTATAATAAAAATTGTTGTTGTTTTTTTTTTGAAAAACACGAACGGTTTTTATATAGTATCACAAGAAATCATCTCGCGGGCAAGAGCCTATGCCATGCCGGCATTTTGTGGTCTTGATTTTCAGACAAACACAATGTCCCTTAATTATACTGACGGAGACAGGAGCCTCGAAACTATTGTTGTGATCAATCTGTAAATATTTCGTATCAATGAGTACTTGACATTTGTGCGTGGAAATGGTGCATTTTACAAAATTTGAGGAGTTCAAATACAGAAACAATAACTGGTTAACGCTCATATACCTCCGGAGGCCAAACTTTTTTTTGGGACGAGCGCGAATTAAGTGCCTTATATTGACGCTGTAAAAAGAGCCTTCTCTTGTACAATATTAAGCAAAAAGAATAATGTTAATACGAATTTTATTGCAAAAATATGTATACATTAAAATAGCATAAAACTAGAAATATCGCTTCAAATAAGATAACAAGCACCACCCACTACCCCCTGACAATGACGCACTTAGTAGAAAAGGGGGTAGCTTTTTGAGCTTTGACTTACTTGGCATGTATCTGGAAAGGAAGCAATGGGACAACGTGATATAAATATAGATGCCCAACAACAATGTTTGTGGGGCAAATCGTAATAAATATTGATATATCAGGAACATAATACATTATGAGCAATATTACAATATTTTATAAAATACAAAATGTATATCATTTAAAGTAACGTTATGTTATGATACACCCCAGGCCCGAATCGATTATTTCGTTTTGAATTTTCTCGCTGTTGAAATCAAATATCGTGCGAGACTTTATTTCTAGTTTTCTGTGTAAAGTAGGTGATGGGCATGTGTTTTATGGACGAAATCCTTCATTTTTATTCTCATCTTTTTTTTCTACCGGTGGTAAATATTACTTGATCGGTTGTTTATCGGTGACCCATCGTCGATATCGGTTGAAGACAGGTAGTAGTTAATCGTTCACTTATAAAATATTTTCACCAATTGAGAATAACAAATCCTAGTAGGTTTTTTCTTCATCCATAAAACTGAAATTTCCGCAAATAGAAGTTACCAGTGGGTGATATCGGTACTTTGTCATCGGTTATTTCCATTATTTGGCTAAAAACAACAACCGATCAATGATTGATGACTGGGGTGTCACACTACTTTATCATGTATGCTATGTCCTGCCATCCTATGTCCTGCTATGCTATGTTATGCCGTGCCCTGCCACACCACGCTTTATCATCTTATATTATTTTCAACCATACATTTTTAATATACAATCCAGAAAAAAATCGCCACTATTTGGGACTGAAACCGTTAAGAGTCAAATGTTTCGAGCTGCAGGTTAACCGAACACAAACCACAACTATTAAGCAAAAAAGCACCATTAATGTCGTCAGTAAAGATTTATACTGTAAAACATTTAACAGCATGAGCCCAACTTTATCATCCCATGAATGCCAGGAACCATCGTGTTCAATTTGAAAATATTTCTCATATTCATCTTTTTCTAGCACAATCAAATTTTCTTTGCATGGGTAGTTTAAAAGGCGGCCCCACATATAGGTTGAACCTGTAAAATAACAATTTTGGTACATAATTAGTTAAGGCCTACCTAATGTTACTTAACAGTGTTTTACACAATACGTATACTTTTCATTTCCACGAGACTGAACATCTCTTTTGTACATAAAATTGCAGAGATATATTTTTATTCTAAACCTATTTTATCTCTTCTTTTTTTCAAACGGGATTGTAAAGTATCGATAGAACAATACACAGGCGCAATTCATGCATTTATTGTACATTAATATGACATTTAGAAGCTTTGGAATTTGTGGGAGAAACAAGATAAAAACTAGTGCTACGTAACTAATGTTGCATTGTTTCTTCAATATTAATAAAATGGTTTATATTTATGAAAATAAATACCAGTATTTGTTTCCATTGATCTTGTTGTACTAGTTTTTATAGTAAAAAGAAGAATTTTAGTCTTTATTAATATCCTATGTTTTATGAAGAGCATATAACATAAATACATTGTTGTTATAAATACCAATATTCGGAAAACTTAAAAAGTGATTTCATTCGCACGTTCAATAATTTATGAGTTTATTGTTTCATTCTCGTCTTTTTTCAGGTTTTACGGTGCCACAAAGGTGACATGTGTGTGTGTGTGTGTGTGTTTTTATTTATCTCGTGCGCACGAGATACTATGTCGTTCCCACGACTTAACTATCTCGTGCCAACGACTTAATAACTCGTGGCTACGACTTAGTAAGTCGTGGCCACGACTTAACTATCTCGTGGCCACGACATAGTATCTTGTTCCCACGACTTAACTATCTCGTGGACACGACTTAGTAACTCGTGGCCACGACATAGTATCTCGTTCCAACGACTTAATTATCTCGTGCCCACGACTTGGTAACTCGTGGCCACGACATAGTAACTCGTGATCACGACATAGTATCTCGTGGCCACGACATAGTATATTGTTCCCACGACTTTACTATCTCGTGACCACGATTTAGTAACTCGTGGCTACGACATAGTATCTCGTGGCCACGACATAGTATCTCGTGGCCACGACTTAATTATCTCGTGGCCACGACTTAATTATCTCGTGGCCACGACATAGTATCTCGTTCCCATGACTTAACTATCTTGTGGCCACGACTTTGTAACTCGTGGCCACGACATAGTATCTCGTGCGCACGAGATAAATGAAAACACACATATCACCTTTGTGCCATAGTAGGTTTTCCATATGTGCATTTTCTTCGGAAATGGACTGTAAAGTAGGTTTGACTAATGTATTTGTAAACTGAAGTCATAAAATTGTTTCAACCTGACATAAGTTGACCCGAGAGTGATTGGCCTTTGCCAGCAGTGTAGAGTAAGGCCAGACTGTACATCTGTGTACACCCGTGCAGTCTGACCAGGCTTTATACTGATGGTTGACAACTTCAGATGTTCATCTTGATATTTCAAAAGTCGATTATGGACAGTTTCAAAAATTGAAGCTTGACAAGTCCATTTTAGAGAAATTTAGCAAAGTTATAATTAATTCACCTGCAGATAATAGAATGTTCCAGTGAGGTAAAAGATACCACCGGTTTGCATTTGGCAGGTTGTCTAACACAGATTTCAGGAATGGGTGATGAGGAGTGATTCCAAATATATCATTTGAGATTCCGGCAGGATATGTGGTGTGAAATATTCCTGTCTTCTTTTCAAAATATGCTTGTAATACAAGGTCCTGCAATCTGAAATATTAAAGTTAAAGAATAATAAAAGAAGCGACTGTGTTTTCCAAGACTATATATCAATCAAAACTTTTCGGCAATACCCGTCAAACTTCGAATAACGAGTAAGGGTAACCAATTGGTATAAGGTGCTCTGAATGACTAACAGAAGTAGCATTTTAAAACTATAACCACTAGCTATATTTTTCCGTTCTACTAATTTAAATTGACGTTACATTTTCAATGACGTTATTTATGCTTGCTTTTTACAAAATGATCACCAAAACGCAAGGACACTATAACGAAGCTGTAAGCAAATCGTATTGGCCCAACAGCTTTACTAACTTCCAAAAAATGGACCTTAAGCATCAAATTATGTCAGTGATGTACCAACTGATGTCAGTGATGTTCCAACTGATGCCATTGATGTACCAACTGATGTCAGTGATGTACCAACTGATGTCAGTGATGTACAAACTGATGTCAGTGATGCAAAAACTAATGCCATTGATGAACCAACTGATGTCAGCGATGCACTTACTGATGTCAGTGATGTACCAACTGATGTCAATGATGTACAAACTGATGTCAGTTAGGTACCAACTGATGTCAGTGATGAACCAACTGATGTCAGTGATGTACCAACTGATGTCAGTGATGTACCAACTGATGTCTGTGATGAACCAACTGATGTCAGTGATGTACCAACTGATGTCAGTTATGTACCAACTGATGTCTGTGACGTACCAACTGAAGTCAGTGATGTACCAACTGATGTCAGTGATGTACCAACTGATGTCAGTGATGCAGCAACTAGCAACTGATGCCAGTGGTGTACCAACTGATGTCAGTGATTATCAACTGATGTCAATGATGCAGCAACTGATGTTAGTGATCTATCAACTGATGTCAGTGACGTACAAACTGATGTCAGTGATGAACTGACTGCTGTCAGTGATGTACCAACTCATTTCAGAGACGTACAACTGATGTCAGTGGTGTACTAACTGATGATAGTGATGTACCAACTGATGTCAGTGACGTACCAACTGATGTCAGCTATGAACCAACTGATGTCAATGATGCACTAATTGATGTCAGTGATGAACCAACTGATGTCAGTGATATGCCAACTGATGTCAATAATGTCCCAACTGATGTAAGTGATGTACCAACTAATGTCAGTGATGCATCAACTGATGTCATTGGTGAACCAACTGATGTCAGTGATGCATCAACTGATGTCAGTGATGTACCAACTGATGTCAGTGATGTACCAACTGATGTCAGAGATGTACCAACTGATGTCAGTGAGGTTTGAACTGATGTCAGTGATGGACAAACTGATGACAGTGATGTACCAACTGATGTCAGTGATGTACCAACTGATGTCAGTGATGTATCAAGTGATGTCAGTGATGAACCAACTGATATCAGTGATGTACTGACTGATTTTAGTGATGTACCAACTGATGTCAGTGATGTACCAACTGATGTCAGTGATGTATCAAGTGATGTCAGTGATGTACCAACTGATATCAGTGATGTACTGACTGATTTTAGTGATGTACCAACTGATGTCAGTGATGTACCAACTGATGTAAGTGACGTACCAACTGATGTCAGTGATGGACCGACTGATGTCAGTGATGTACCAACAGATGTCAGTGATTTACCAACTGATATCAGTGATGTACCAACAGATGTCACTGGTGTACCGACTGATGTCAGTGATGTAACAACTGATGTCAGTGATGTACCAACTGATGTTAGTGATGTACCAACCGATGTCAGTGATGTACCAACTGATGCCAGTGATGTACCAACTGATGTCAGTGACGTACCAACTGATGTCAGAGATGTAACACTCGATGTCAGTGATGTACCAACTGATGTCAGTGATGTATCAACTTATGTCAGTGGTGTACCAACTGATGTCAGTGATGTATCAACTGATGTCAGTGATGTACCAACTGATGTCAGTGATGTACCGACTGATATCAGTGATGTACCAACTGATGTCAGTGATGTACCGACTGATATCAGTGATGTACCAACTGATGTCAGTGATGTCCCAACTGATATCAGTGATGTACCAACTGATGTCTGTGATGTACCGACTGATGTCAGTGATGTACCAACTGATGTCAGTGATGTACTAACTGATGTCAGTGATGTATCAACCGATGTCAGTGATGTACCAACTGATGTCTGTGATGTACCGACTGATGTCAGTGATGTATCAACTGATGTCAGTGATGTACCGACTGATATCAGTGATGTACCAACTGATGTCAGTGATGTACCGAATGATGTCAGTGATGTACCAACTGATGTCAGTGATGTACTAACTGATGTCAGTGATGTATCAACTGATGTCAGGGATGTACAGAATGATGTCAGTGGTGTTTCAAGAAAGAAAAGCCTTTCATAATGATAAAAGCTTACGTGCATTTAAAAATAGAAATAAAATTATTTAAATTGAAGGCATTGTACATATGCAAGGCTCACGTTTTGTAGTGTTAATCTATTTTCGCCTATATGATTTATTAACGTCTACGTAAATCTATTCTCGTATCTTAAACGTAAAATGCGCAGTATTTCTCATAAACATATTCAATTTATTTGTTATACAACGATCAACATTTGAGCCGCGACACAACAAAACCATCATAATGGGTTTGCGACCAGCATGGATCCAGACCAGCCTGGGCATCCGCGCAGTCAGATCAGGATCCATGCTGTTCGCTATCAGTTTCTCTACTTGTTATAGGGTTTGTAAGCGAACAGCATGGATCCTGATCAGTCTGCGCGGATGCGCAGGCTGGTCTGGATCCATGCTGGTCGCAAACGCATTATGTTGGTTTTGTCATGACGCGGCTCATTTTTCTTTTTAGCTTTCTTAACACTTGGATTACTACATTTATTTTTCTACTTATTTTGCAATTTGCATCTTTATTATTAATGGTGAAATTGAAAATATGAGATATCAATTCGGATGTGTTACTTGAATCACACATGCACCCTGTAAAATTCATTTGTTATAAACCTGTTTACATTCTCTTAATTAAAAGCATTATCACGTGCACAAATACTAAAAATTCTAGTGTTATCTGATATAAAGCACGGTGGTAGAGCAAAGCCCACACAACCCACTGGCATCTTTTCTAATTTAAACTACTCAAAGTTTCAACAATTTGATAACTTGTATATCAGGTAAAAATTAATTATTTCTTCACATTAATATGTTCCGATAAATATCTTTAGCCAAGTATAAGCTTGTTTAATATGAAAAAGCATCGAAACACGAGACGATCTGACTTGTATACGAGGGGCGTAGCTCAAAAGTATAAATCAGATTGCCGAGTGACTCATTGTATCATAGGCAAAAATAAAAACACATTCCCTGTCGCCACAATATGAAACCCTAGATGGAAGTGACCAATGTACGAGCATCTGAATATGACTTTTCTATCGTTATCTATTTCCCTGTTGTCGCAATAAGTAAACCCAAGAGAAAATGAGCGAGTCAACGGGCATTCTCTACTTTTATCCACGACAGTGCGGTTACTGGAGTGCGGGTAACTTCTATCTGCACTCCAGTTAACGCACTGTGCAATGTGCATGTATGTGCATATATACGATGTAACTATGGCACATTTTAAATAGAAAGGTCTTTCAAATATATATGATACAAGAATATTTAAACAACGTCCGCATATAGTGTAAATCTTGATTATCTACACTCACATCTACGGTTAAACAGGTATTTTGTTTCATGTTCGTTATTTCATACAGCTTCCTTATTCGTACTGAAATAAATCCTTGAACCGAAAATCAGTATACATTTGTAAATCCAGGCCAGCCCGTGGGTTTGTGCAGTTTGGCCAGACTCTATGCTGTTTTGTTGCCTTACTTTTAAATTATATCTTGAAACCCTAAAACTTGATCTTGGATAGTTCCGAAAATGAAAGTTGAACAAGTCTATTAAATTTTCATCTTCAATGTGCTTGTTATTCTCATTATTGTCTATCTCTTTATACAATCAGAGATGGTAATGTTTTCTGGTTGTTATATGTTTCTTTGGTCTGGTTAGATGTTTAAGCCATACCAACACTCACTGCTGCCGTCGCATCTTTTACTTGGAAGAAATCCTCGCTGAGCACCTCCTTGCATTGTTTGCATTATATCATGAGCAAGGCGTGTGTAAAAACGTCCCACTAGCTAAGTAGCTTTCTCACATAAAAGAATGCGAAGTTCTTAAGGTTTTGAACTCACGGCGGTGCGGGGAAAGTTATATGAAGTCAGGGAACGATTTGTATTTCACGAAATAATTGAAATATATAAGATATAAGTATACAATGTAGCATATGATTAAAGCTAACAGGAAGTACTTGGTCCCTATTTTAACACTGCTCATCTACCCATGCGACCAGTGCAGACCAAGATCAACCGGAACATACGTGTCGTCTGATCATGGTCTGCATTGTTGGCTATTAAGTCACTACATACCGTAAATTTGAAATGTCTCATGTTTTTATCCTGATTTAAAGATGGGCAAGTCCATTTAAGATTTTTATCATGACAAGGGTTACTCTGACATTCTGTGAGCATTTGATACGTGTAATGCCTTACTGTCAATGCCGTGTTTTATATTACTGTAACTCGACTATATGACCAAACGTAAAGGTGGGTATGTCTTGCATTTTGCATTTATACACACAACGTACTCTTCAGTACCACCAATGATATCAATGGTAAAAAATATTAAAAATACATGTTTGTCCCTAAGTTAAGTCTAAATATTACCACATAAATAACACATTTGACGTCCCTTTAAAACGTGTGGAAAAGAACATGTAAACGCCTTTACAGTAAAGCTTTTTGTGAATTTTCTGATATTTTTTTCTGGTGGTGTATCGGGATATTTAATAAATCTAATAAATGTTGAATACTGCTTATATTAAGTTCGTCGCACATTTCATTAGCCTCAAACAAACCGATACTAAGATAAATCTAGATGTGAACATTTTCGAGTGCTTTTGATGGATCTCCCGTTTTCGATTTTTTTTATTAAAAAGTAGATTAATAGTTTTATAACATACTGGCATGCGAGCAGTTCCCGTACAAAAATCGTAGTAACTTAAACATTATTTTTTATTACGCTCACTCACCAAAATTTGAATGTTACACATCAATATTCAGCTCGTCACACAAATCATGGAAATTCCATCATGTTCTAAACATAGTATAACCCTTACTTATGAGGCCTCATATGGGGTACCGAAATTATCCATTATTTTGTATGAAGAGAAGTAGTTCCCGTACATAAAGTCTAACCCATTATAATTATACAATTTTATTATATCGGACCTATTTTTCATTTACAATTGTTGAACAGACCATTATGTAAGAGATAAATAGATGTAATTCAGGAAATAGAGCGTAGACTAAACGCCGGTATCAATTATCCGGTACCGTTACCCCAACGCATTCACATGCAATAGCATGCTTGTATGCATGATATTTTACGCATCAAAGCCATAAAATTATTATATATAGTAATATTGGTCAACATTCTGATAATTAAACAAGTTAACATCACATTGCCTACTTATTTGTAAACAGGTGGTATTAGTGTAAAACCCTTTAACAAGCCTCACGTGTAAGTATTTTTGCGCATGCGCGCAAGGACGGAATCCCCCAGAGAAAACAAGGTCACATTTTGACGACGCACAGGTGAAAGTGATTAAAAATGAGACTTTATATACGTACTGCCGAACTGACACTTAGATTTTGTCTTGTTTAAGTATCTGCTTGATTTGAAATGAATTTTTGAAGAATGCAAGTAAAAATTATGCGTTTAAATGAAAAATACGGGTACTGCTTCTGTACGGGAACTGCTCGCATGCCAGTAGAGCTCTACAGAACAAGTCATAAGTCAATACATTACTTATTAGCCATAAAGACGGTCTCATTACAATTACAAAATGCACCAAGACTTATTAAAAACGAATATCTTACCCAGCTTTACAACGCACATCCAAATCAATGTACCATCCACCATAATAATGCAGTATGACGTAACGTGCTACGTCAGCTCTTTGAATCCACGAGCCATATGACGTAAAAAGATGAAACAGGTGCTTGTATTCATTTTGTATCAATCTGTTGACTGTTGTGGCGTTCCATAGATAGTATATATAATCACTGTGCTGTTCTTTCCAAGTTTTTATTTTATCTAAATGATCTGTGTTCATTTGTAAATCTTTAAATCCATGCACTTGGTGAATTATTTTTGGAATACGCTTTTGACCGATGCTTTCCATTTTGTCACACTGTTCAAACTGAGATGTATTGTTTGGCACTAAAATAAATTCTGATATCAAATAAGTAGAGTTTTTCAATATTAAGAACACTATCACAATTGCCGGAAGGAGCAGAATAAAAAACAACACTTTCTTCCACAATACCCGCTTATTTAATCCGTTTTGCATCTTTTAAATATTAATTAAGTCCTTGACGTTTCTCAGCACCTGATTTCCTTTAAAACGGTTAACTAATTAATTAGAATCAACGATGTTAACAGCTATACAACGTTATATTTATATATACAATATGCATCTTATGACGACCTTGGTTTAAAATTACATTTATGTCATATATTGCACGTTTGATTGTTGTTGTTGTTGTTGTGGTTGTTGTTGTGTAAAGATACATTGGAAAATGATACTCTCTACCATGCATCTGATGATTTAAGTCAATGCAACTATACTACGTGTATGTAATATATGTAAATGTTTTACAAAGTTACCTGCTAAAAATAAAGCGTATACAAAACGTATTGTTACAGTCGAACTCGTCATTATATATAAATAGAATCTACCTTAGTAAAATCGATTGAAATTTGACGAATTATAATCGATACTTTCCAGATAATCGATAAGTTTTCATAAAATCAATAAGTTTCCAGATAATCGATAAGTTTCCAGGTAATCGATAAGTTTCCAGATAATGTTTCAGTTGAATGGCTATAATTATATTATTATATAAATTGTGAATTGCTGTAAATAGATTGTACGGTTTTTCAATGATTTTCTTAATAACTATATAATTGCTGAAGATAATTAAAAAAGATCATACATTTATATTATTTTTTTTGTAATTGTAATATAAATATTAAGATTTACGACCAGCCGACCTTGATTCAATAAAACATACGCTACCCCGTCTAATATTGTGAGTAAATGATAAATATATTCCAGTCCTATCTAATTTATAATTGTCATTTCAATTACCCAAACTTTGGAACATTCCATTCAATGCTGAAGATATTCAAATAAGAAAATACAAAACATTTAAGCTATGAGTGTAGCGCCTGGTCTGCATACTGGCGGGAAAGTCAAATCACTTCCGGTTCCTGTAGAGACAGTACATAAATAATTTCATCCAACCGTACTGGTTAGTATATTACGTTTGTTTCCGATCCAGTTTCGTATTTATAACATTTTCTGTACGGCACATATATATCAATAATATATATATATGTTAAATTTTACTGTAGGGATCAAACCATTATTTCATCGATGTGGTCGCTAATTATATCCTATTGTACACACTTTTGCACATTGTGACGTTGCTCGTATTCATTGTATAAAAATTCCAATAGCTTTTTTAATGAAAAATATTTTAATGTATATTAAATATGTCGTCACTCCAACGAGAAAACACATGTGGATGTACCATATTCTGAACGAGATTCCACGTTATTATCTAACATGCATAAAATAAATCTTGAATAATCGTACTACGTGCATCGGTTACGTTTTGTTCCTGCATTGATCAAGGCAAGCAATTTAGCCAGTGAGTAGTATTAATTGAGTATTATTTTATTGATTTAACAAGGGATTATGTGACATCTGCTATAATACAGGGGCGTACCCTGAGCGTAACAAAGTTGACAAGTAAAGGGATGAAATGTCATTTACTAAGAAGTAGAAACAGCATCGAAACACGAAGCTATCTGATTTGAACGTAAGAGCATAGCGCCCCCTCCCCCTACACACACACCAAGTATAAATCAGATTGCCGAGTGTTTCGACGTTCTTTCCATTTTTATCATATACAAAAATAAACACTCGGCAATCTAATTTATACACAGGGGCTATGCCCCCTCGTACAAATCACATAGCCACATGTTTCGATGCTCTTTCTATTGCTTGTACCTTTCTAGATCTAAATCGTATACCCATACACGCACAGCGAGTTAATTGGAATACATGTATTAATCACGCACACTCCAGTTACCCCACTGTCGGGGATAAAAATGAAGCATGCTCGTTGATTGGCTCATTTTGCTGGGGTTTACTTATTGTGACGACAAGAAAAGGGATAACGATAGAAAAAGTCATATTCAGGCGCTTATACATTGGTTACTTTTTTCTGGGGTTTTTATATTGTGACAACAGGGAACGTGTTTTTATTTTTGACTTTGATAAAGAGGAGAAAGAACATCAAAACGCTCGGCAATCCAATTCATACTCGGGTGAAACGCCCCCTCGTATATATAAGTCGTGTTGCGATGCTCTTTCTATTAGGTGTACTGTACGTACTACACTGCTTTTAAATATTTCAAAAGTTGTAAACAATCCGAATCTATGACCTACCGAGCTCAAGCATTGGTTTCATTTCCGTCTTTTTACAACGTATTGTGGTTTGTCGTTTCATAACAAATCACAAGATATAATCAAGGAAAATATCACTTTAAAAACATCCTTTATATTAGTGAAACAACGCAATAGATAAGATGTTTTAGTGTAAAAAAAGGTTGTAGTAACCACACTTTAAAGTACTCTCATTTTGGCTTCTCAAAGCGACATGGGTCCAGATTCTTGCTAATTTTCATGAAAATTTTGAAAATGTATTTAAAAGTAAAACATTAATTATGCTGTGAACAAAGAAAGAAATTAACATATTATAAACAGCACTTACAATCCACGTTAATTAGTAAAAAGAGGTCAAAATATGCAAAAATAGCCCTTACTGCATTAGTCACGCAGTAGAAATATGATGATAAATACTGCAAAATATGTAATTACTCATTAATCGCACAAAACATATAAATCACTACGTTGCGTTGAATCTTGAATGATTTTACTTTTCTCAATTTTGATTTTCTTGAAATAAATTGAGTCCCAGATCATTTCCCACTATATTACTTCCCATAGGTATACCTATATTGCCCATGGAATGTATAACCACAGTATATATTACATGTATTATTATATTGTCACGTATGTGATCGCTCCCAATTATCGTAACGTTTACATATGTACATAATAATTATATAGTCGAAATAAGGTTACATTTAAAACATACCGATGTACTAAATCAGCCGTTACGCTACGCAACTGTACTTACATCCCAAATACCAATGTAAATACACCCCAAAATACCTATTTTTTAAATTGCATTTCTTATTTATCTTTTTTACAATCTATCTGTTCATTTTATGAGTTTGTGCATATTGGCGTATCGTCGGCAGGTATATGTTGTATTTTATATACATTATACATCTTACGTCATATGAAAAATTAACCTTTTTACACCGTAAAATAAATACATGTATCCTTAAAGTAAGCAGATTGGTGTATAAACTAAATGTATGTATATATGTATGCATGTTCAACCAAACCTTCGTGAAACCTTCAGGACAAAACGTATAGATGTGTTTCTACAAGTTACACCATTAAGATATAAATATGAAAGTTACTTAAAGTTTTTGAGCCAACTTAGAAAAAAAAAAACTTTTTTAAACATTATTTTTTCTAATAATTTAAATCAACTGTGCATTTTTACTCTAACTTAAAGGCACACAATGCCTTAAAAACGAATATTTTTTCTTAGTTTAGAATGGCAAACGTTAAAAGAATTATTTCAGGCTATGTTCGCTGAATATGAAATTATTTGTCATATAAAGTAGTATTTTGACTTCCATACAAAATAATAAATTACTATGATGTACTTATTGCCAAAACAAGAAGAAGAAAGGATGGTTCAAGTATATGGCCAAAAAGGTACTTTTAAGAAACTTTAACAGTGCACCAAAAATAAAAATAAAAGCTTCTGAGAAATAAAAAAAATAGTATTTCTTGGGCATCCTGTGCCTTTAAACATGTGTAAGATTTATTTATGCTTTAATTTGTGTAAGAAAAATAATACTCTGTTTAAAGGCACATTATGCCTCAGAAATCAATATTTTTTTTGAATCCTGTACAAAGGCCAGATATGTGTTTTGATAATGAATTTAGAGCATCATAGATGTTAAATAACTACAGAAAAACGCGTTGATTGTGCATTAATTTGATGTAAAGGTAGCAAAATGTTAGCAGCCTTTAAAAAAAGCAGACATTTTTCTTTAGAACCCTGTACATGACTCTATCCCCGTCCCCGCAACTCATCGAACGGATTCGTCCCTTTTCCATTTTATAAATGATGTTACATTTGTGTAACATATTAAACAGCAACAGTTAAGGACAACATCTGTTGTTATTCTACAGCCCATCCCAGTTCCATACAAATACAGCTGTAACATTAATGTGTTGCAAATGTTGTCACCTTTGAAAATATGTTACATTATGTTAATTTTTTAGGATTGTTGTCTAACAAAGCGCAGATGTTGAACACGACCATACAACATGAGTTTCCTAGTTCACCAATACACAATGAGTTCATGTACATGTAGATGGTCACATATGAATACGGAAAAGTTCCCTTAAATCAAAGAAAAGTCCTATACATGTATTACAATATCCTTGCGTTTGAAGGCATGACATCTTAAGATTCGATCTTAAGCAAAGGCTTTGTTCATGTTGGTTTTAACAATTTTTTTTCTTTTATCTCGAGAATTTCTTGACACATGCCGCATGCTATAACTAATTGCTTACAATATAAGAAATGATACGAATTAGAATTAATTTATCAATCCAAATGAAGTATTGCAAACTTAACAATTAATCTAAACATTTTTTTATCAAATGTGTATTAAAAGAATGTTTTAGACTGGTGTTTATAATATGCAATGTCTTTCAGGAATGAAATGATAAGATCGTAAAAAGTTCATTCAAAGACGGTGGTGACTTATTTGTCAGAAAAGTAGCAAAATGTAAATACATATAAAACATTCTTTTAATAAACGTTTTTATTTATCGAAAGCCTTTTTTCTTATTTTTGGTTAATGTTTATGAATGTTTCCAGAAAGATACTTAATTGCCATATATCTGAACCATCTTTTGCTTCTGTTGCTTTTTGGCAATAAGTATATAATTATACATCATAGTAATTTTGTATTTTGTATGCTAGTAAAATACTTTTTTGGTTACAATTTGCCACTTTTATGACAAATAAGTCACCAAGTCTCCAAGTTGATTCAATAAAACCGAGCCTGCAATATTTCATGTTTGAACGACATTAAGGGTTTTAGTTGCACCATGACAGTATTCAAATTTATAATACACTGCGTTTAACAAATTTATTTTCAATACTATATGACTTGGCAAGAGTTTCAGATATCTAGTATCATTTCTACTCCATCTGTCAAGTGGCACAAGGACACAACGTTCAAATTTCATCCACATTTTGTTTGTCCGTTATATTTCAACTTTTACACTCGTTTTAATTACATTAAATTTGTCAAATGCGAGTGAAAAAAAAATCAATAGGACTAAAATACGTGTTTAAAAAATAACACATTCATATGAATGTTGTAAAAATTCAGGGAAAAATCACAGCAAAAATCAAATAGTTAGGATACCCATGTTTCGTTTCATTGAAATGTTCATGTGGGATAATGGGAAGTACAATTTCTTCCACGCCCCTTTAGCTCCAGGAGAAGAAGTATCATTTTGATGGGAAAGTAATCTCTCTAGAATCAGCTTTTATATGTCCCATATTATTTTTATTGCTTCAAAAATTTAGATATTTTATACGCTGAACAGTGCTTGTTTTTTTTTATTTTGAAGAGCTGCTTTACTTCTTTCGCACCTTCTCCAACGCCATATTCATCGATATCACTTTATAATTTTGTAGAATAGCAAAGTACATTTTTATTAGAATTTTCACTTATTTCACATTTATTATTATGGCTTTCCAAAGAATTTTATTATTTGTATACAAATCTCTTTGATTTTTGGATATCCTTTTCATATCCATTTCATATCAATGTCATACTGGATAAAATTTATAGTATTTGCACAAGGCACGCTTTTTGTCGCAATCCGATGTTGCTGGGTATATATGTTGTTAATTGTAATTCTGTTTTGCCATCCAAAACTTGTGACTGGATCTTATGCGTCGTTGTTATCTAAAATGACATGTTCATCTTTACTTTTTTATGATAAGATAAAACAATTCTTCCGTTACTACCGTTATAACATTACTTGTCGTGCAAATGTCGTGCAAATGTTTTACACAAATATTAGATTCGACTTGCGATAACAAATTATTTGTGAAAAGATTGAAAGCAAAATGTTTCTTAAAGTTTTAGTAGTTCTTTTAACAGATCTATTTGTGATATATTCCATACGATTGGAAAACTGTTGTAAGATTTTCTTCTTTTCTTGTATCTGTTTTATATGTTGTTCACACTTTGAAGGATAAATCACATGAATAAAAATGTAATTAAAAATATTATACCAACGGTCATAAACTATTTAATTTCAAATTACGAAGTATTTACAAAACAATACATAAGCCTGGTAAGAAGGCATATTTTATACGTACATACGTTTTACACATATGCCTATTTCACAACAATGGATAAAAATAATACTTGGATATTACTTGGTGAATGACATCGGGATTATATCCTTTTAAATGTTTTTGTCTATTACATGTACATAGTTCTAATTTAGTGGTATTCTCGCATTTTTCATACACAAATTTGCAATAACGACGAATAGACTGCGCATGCTTAGCGGAAGGAGACAACGCACCAAATTAACATTCTTCGTTATTTCGTGTTATCGCGCCTGTGAAACGCACAGATATGGTGGCTGATTTTGTACACTTTGCGCCTTGCGTTGTCGATAGCGGCAAAACAACCTATATTGTTATCGCCTTTTTGTCTTGTCGTCTTGTTGTTAGCGAAACGTGCCAAACGGCACGTTGTCGCACTGTCGTCTTGTCATCCTGCCTCAAGCGAAGCACGCCAAATTGCGCGTTGTCGTGCGGCGCGTTGTCGCGATGTCGCCCTGTCGCTTGGCACATAAGCCAATCCTTCGATTTGAGCCGAGCGACGGTGTGACATCGCAACAACACGCCGCACGACAACGCGCCGTTTGGCGTGCATCGTAAGATGCAGGACGGCAAGACGAAAGTCCGACAGCGCCGTTTGGCGCTTTGTCGTCCTGTCGCTAGCGACAACACGATGCACAAAGGCGTTCCAAAATCAGCCTCCATATATCATCGTCAGATACCCACGGCCGAACCATTAACATTGATTGCATGTTATGTAACATGTTTATCAATCGTTGGTATCCGACGATGCCTTATATTGGCGTCTTCATATTTTTTTTGTTTTGATGTCGCGTTTGAAGGGCGCCGACACGAAGTAACGACAAAACGATAAAAATAGTGCGATAAAATGAGAATTTATATTTTTGTCGTTATTTCGGTCTTTCCTGTTGTCGCCCCTTCAACCGCGACAGAACGAAAAAACGACATAGCAGAAATCTATGGTGGCTGATTTGGAACGCTTTTGTGCGTCGTGTTGGCGCTAACGACAACAAAAGGTTGCGTTGTCGCTATCGACAATTCAACGCGCAATGTACCAAATCAGCCATCATAAAAATCTATGGTCCTGTCGCTAGCGAATTGCGCCAAACGGCGCGTTGTCGCACTGTCGCTAGCGAAGCAAGCCTAACGGCGCGTTGTCTTGCGGCGCGATGTCGCCCTGTCGCTTGGCTTATATATATACAAAAAGCCAATCCTTCGATTTAAGCCGAGCGACAATTTGACATCGCGACAACACGCTGCACGACAACGCGCGCGCCGTTTGGTGTGCTTCGTTAGCGACAAGACGACAGTACGACTATCACTTTAGAATCAGCCACCTTATAAATCTGTTGTCGACGACTTCAAATATTTTTCAGGGTTTGATTGAATCGGACAAGCAACATTTTTATTTCCGTCCGTTAAATAGTTTTGTACTGTTACCATTATAGCTGTAGACAAGAACAATTCAGTTGTGAGTATACATCAACTTGATATTCATTAATCTACAATATCTTTTCCTGGAGAGATTATTGTCAATGTTGACCTAACTGTGAACAGACGCATCAACCATCTTTTTCTTGACTTTGTCAAAGAAAAAAAGTCGTTAGTGTGGACCACAATACCGTGCATAGGAAGCTCAGAAAGAGGGTCATGGTGAGTGATTTACTAGACCAAGACCATATTCTTTAATTATTCAAGTTTTGATCATAAATCACAGATGTTGGTTATAGACATTACGCTCCATTTCAAGTTTAAGACAAACTGTCGTTCACAGAATAATTTTAATTTGATGTTTAAAAACATTGTTAACATTGACATGTTTTGTTGTGTATTGTTTTTTCAATAATTAAGATCATTGATTTATTAAGGAATAATTCTAATAACATCCGACTATTTGTTAATTATTTATAAAGCATGAACACGCTGTACCTTCACTTTCTCTTAATTTTTATGTTGTATGTCAAATATTAGATTTATTTTTGTTCTTATATATGACATAGTGATTTACAAACATCATGAAGGAATTTGTTACAAATTGCAATGTCTTTTCATGTTGATTTGTTTTGATTGTAATAAAATTGTGTTTAAGACGAGTATTATGGTCGAATTTGTAAAAAAAAAACTCATTTTGCCCCCCCCCCCAATCTTTCCCAATAACTGATTTTGCTTTAATAGCGAGTATGTCAATGACAGCTTGGCACCGTCGTTGCATACTCCCTATTAGGTTTCTTAGGACGGCTTGTTGCATGGTATTCCACTCGTCGACAAGTCGGCATCAAGCTCCTGGGTGCTTCTTAACTGGACCTGACAGGCTGAAATACGGACCTGTATCTGTCAATGTGCCTCTGTCGAGGACAAGGAGACCAGTACGTCCATCCCAGCTGATTCCTTCCAGACCATCATTGATCCGCCGCCATAGCGGTCGTGTTCCGAAATATTTGCTGTATTGAACCGTTCCCTTGACCTTTACCGTACTCTAGCATGTCCATCTGTGTAGTCCAGGCAGTACCTTGACTCGTCGGTGAAGAGGACATCCGCCAGTCCATCCTGCTCCAACAAACATGATCCTGCCCAATCATATCTGAGTCGGCAGTGGTCTCTAGACAGCGGAATCCGTATACATGGTCTTCTCGGTCGCAGACCACTTTCATGCAACCGTGTACGTATTGTTTGTGTTGACACGCGCACCCTTGAAGTATTTTGAAAGTAAGAACGAAGTTGGGTTGCAGTTGCAAAACAGTTTCTTCGTGCCTGGATGACCAGAAAACGATCCTCAGCCTCAGTAGTTACACATGTTCTGTCACCACTATGTCGTCTAACAGGTGTCCATGCTGTGGGAACCTCGCCCAGGCTCGGGTGATAACCGTATGGTCCACACCAAACACCTCACCAACCTCACGATGTCGAGCCCCTGCTCCACCATATCAACTGCCATTATTCAATCTTAAATGGAAAATCCTACACTTCTCGGTACGTGTATGCTGTGTCTATTAAAGACTAACAAAATACAGGGTCACCTTGTTTGCCCTACTTGCAAGTGGAAATGGCCTGTCATTCAAGGTTATGTGTACACAGGATACACTTTCGATACATTACTACACGATTTACAATATAAATACCATAACATTAAATGATGTAAAATGCAGGATGCTATATGTGGAAAACTTTGTGCTTAGCAAACTTGGAGTAGTATATTTATAATGTAATTGTCACGGTTCAGAACTGTTTCACTTCTTGACGAAGATGGTGTGAAAGCGGCCACATAGCTCAGTCGGTTATAAGAACTACGATACGGTATTCCGAGGGTCCCGGGTTCGATTCCCGGTCAGGCTGCAGATTTTTCTCACCCTGTGACATTTGGCGCCCAACGGGGGAACGTGATGGTTTAAGCTCCGAGTTCAATTCCACATTGGAAATTCGAGGACGAATTTTAATATAGCGAGGAAGTATGTCACGGTCCAGAACTGTTCACTCCTAGTGTTTAGGGGAGAAAGTGTGTAAGCGGCCGGATAGCTCAGACGGTAGAGCCAAGGTACGGTATTCCGAGGGTCCCGAGTTCGAGTCACGGTCAGGCTGCACATTTTCTCACCCTGTGACGTAATCAATACTATGTATACGTATATTCTTCTCATCTGTGCATTATATACTGTGTGAATATGTTATGCTCTCCAATTTCGGAGAATAATAAAATTTTATTGTAATAAATAATTTTATTTCAGTAACATAGATTACTGCAATGTGCTATCTAAGTTCTGGAACTTTGAGATTCCTTCAGGTGAATTTGAATTTCTCATTGAAGAAATCATCAGTTGGACTATAGGAAGAAATTGTCCGATCGATCCTGATAGGTACGTCCTGAGAGATCTGAAAATATCTCTAAAGAAACTCACCCAAACAACCCTTTCGCCTTTTGCTCAGGTGAGTTAAATTTATGAATCAATTTATATTTCAACATTTTGATCCATTAATAATGTAATGGAAAAGTTTTTAGCAATATATATATATGAATCAAGCTTCCTTTGTATTGTATTTGGTAAGCAAGTACATTGTTATTTTAAAAAACAACAACAAAAAAAAACAACAACAAAAACGTTATACTCTGTGGAACATCCGTATATATTTTTTTGTTTCACTTAGCCACATTAATAATGGAATAATAAATAAGAGTGACAATTTGAATATTTATTTGTGAGAAAACGTCCGTCTGTCGATCTGTCTGTCAGTCACACTTTTGTTTCCGTTTTTTTCTGTTTTCAGTTACTTTTATAGTAAAAATATCGATGCATTCTGAAAAAAATATACAAACCCAAGCCTTTTATTCTCATCATTATTATTATTATTCTTTAGGGTCACCACAGAGTAACAATACTGGTCAAAGATGACCCGTTCAGTCCTGACAACATTGGTTGTGTGCAGTTTGAGTTAGACATCAACATAATATCCGATTTAAATTTTTTAATCGGCAAAACCGAACGTTTGAAAAATATACCGTCACTTTGAGCGAGTGATTTGGACTCGAAATGTCTCTCTCGTTTTTGTCGATTTTGACAGCATTGCGTACTCAGAAATATAATTTTACGCGTTTCTTTGTTATAGTTTAGTTTTGTTATAGTTTAAGTAAGTTTCTTTATAATTTGTTATCAGTTCTCAACTTTATAATAACTAACCAATATAATACATTACTATACTTATTTTCCAGTAGGATACGTTTTTTTTTTAATATTTATTTGCCAGTATAATATTTAATTTTATACTAACTTTGCGAGTATGGACTCTTGTTGCCCATATAAGACATTGCCACAAACTTCCTGGCACATGTGAAATGCTAAGACCATACAAGTTTTTAATGTACTAGGACTGATTTTAGAGTATTATTATAGAAGACTCAAAATATGTACAAGGCGCTATTTTCACTCCTATATATTTGATTTCAATTTTATTATCAACGAAACTTAGGCCAGTTATTTTTAAGCATGCAATTACTTAGCATATATAGATTTTCTGTTGTGAATGTATAAATCAAAATGATATGAAATCGATTCAATAAAAAAAATAATGACATATTGTAAAAACGCTAAGATTACCAATACTTATATTAAACGACCTGTTTTTTCTAAACATTTGATTGATTCATATCAATTGTGTTAATTAGTCGTTTTGATACATGCAAAGCCAACCAAATGATCACTGCCGCCGGTAATACGGTGTGATTGCACTGATTTTACATCGGACTGGAGGTGATTAGCCTTTGTCACAAATATTAGTATCTGGTCAGTCTGTACTTCCATGCAGTCTGATATGACGCTACACTATTCCCCGAAAATTAATAATGTGCGGCTCCACAAAATGGAAGCTACACAAGATTAATGGGTTAATATATTCATTATTTTATTACATTCGCGTGGGATAGCCCCTTGAGGAGATTGGTAAATACAAACCATATAATTCTCAAAGGTATGGTGAAAGTCTTATCCGTTCTAGAAGTAGATGTTTGTTTTTTAAACACATTTCAATACATTTTAGGTTACATCTCTTCGGTCGGCTCACCTAACCGGCTTCCCTGGAGAACTGGCTAGTAAATACTAATAATTTCTCCGCAAGTGACAGACTACTATCAATGGGTGACAATCGCTCATGATTTCTGAATTTGCGAAGAGGAACAAATAAATGTACGAGATCTCTGCAGGGAGAAATTTCGCCTTGCTCGAGGATCGAACCAACTTCCCCTGAATTACAAATCTACAGGTAACCCACAGCCAGTTCTTTCCGCATGTAAAGTGTTAAGCTCTATCACACGTGGCTGCATTTCGCTTTAACGGCTCTTGACAAGGACTTTTAGTACTTTCAGCTCAAGTAGCAGGTGGGTTTGAAATCAGACTGTGTTACCATTTGACTTAATTTGATACAAATATTCAACTTCAGTACTGTTCAACGCATGAAGCGGGTTCCTTATACTTTTTTACATTTAATATCTGTACTTTATGCAAGTATTATCTTATTTCATCAATGAACATATGGGATCAGGACAGATGTTGTTTTAAGAAAAATAGGTGTTGACATATACAATGTACGATGTAAGACAGACTGTGAACAATCCTTATACATGTCGCTCACTCCAACACTCTGTGCCAGATCAGCTAACAAGGCAAACATATTTCAAATTAACAACAAAATAATATTTCTTTAAACTTTTTATTTGGGATGATTTTGCTAAAAATTACATCCTAAGTAATAGCCAACAATACAAAACAAATCATCTTTTTTCCTGTTTAGATATGTGTTAATTATATAAATGCTGGTTGTCAAAATCAGTAACTTATCAAAAGCTAATCTAACTTTAACTAAATCTTATATTTTTTCTATAAGAAAACCTAGTAAACTCTCTGTTTACACCATTTTTCTTTATTTTATTTGGGTTTTTACGTCGTACCAACACAGTATAGGTCAAATGGCGATTGGTGGAGGAAGACCTCAGGTGCCCTTCTGTGCATTATTTTAATCACAAACGTGCACCTGAGTGAATCATCGACGTTCGTAATAAGCTAGCTGGATAGCTTTCTTAGGTCAAGAATCCAAAGACGCTTGCGTCCCTGGAACCTACTGCGGTGAGAGGCAAGTGATTTAAAGTCAACGACCTTAACCACTTGGCCATGGACGCCTCTTTTGTTTAAACTTGTTACATATCTTTTTTATTTGAGGTATAAATGTGGCAAAAACATAACTTCAACATGGGATTGTCACTTTTCTAAACACTGTTAACTATATCTACAAGGTATAAGAATAATGAAACTAAATTCAACACATTGACATGAAATAATGATAATAAAATATCAAATAATTCTGATAAAAATTATTGCACCACCATTTGATAATGGAATATCTTTGGTATCCTCAAATGTTAACAATTTTGCATTTTAGCAAAACCTGTGATAAGAAAAAAATCCCAGTCATAAAAATATAAAATGTAACAAAGTATCATCATTTGACCTACCGGAGCTGAATGTATTTACACTTTGTCACCAGTATAGAGCCAGGCCAGACATCCAGGCCAGACATCCAAGCTCTATACTATACATGTAGCTCAATTTTTGTATTTTGATATTGAAATCCCTTCAACTTTAAATGGACTGTAACCAAATCCAATGCAGGGCAAGTCCATTACACAAAATACACAGGTTTAGGGTAAAGTAAAAAAAGCACAAAAATACTTTTGTTTTGAGACATATATAATTAAGACATAATCTTTAAATAAAGACCAATTTGTCTTATTGAAAGACTGTTTTGATAGAACGTTTATCTTACAATAATAAATGACTCATAAAGCCTTAAAAGGGTCTTTGGGCACAGACAGATCTTAAAACATTACCTTCGTACTGTTAACAATTTCACAGAGACAGAGAAATATATAATACTTTTCTCACAATATTTTTGTTTCATGTAAGTAAATTCACAATAAATCTTCTGCATTTATTTATGTTCCATTTTAAATTTGAAAAAAATCTAGTGTTTCATGCCAAACTTAATAAATGATATAAATACAGTTTGGCACTATGTCAAGTTTAATGAAAAAATATATTTATATTTTGTTTTATGTCAAGATTAAAAACAATTTATTACAAGAATAATGATAATACATTACTTTTATTTCATGTCACGATTAATGGACAAACATCACTTTTGTTTCATGTCAAGATTAAACAACAATACAATACAAGTTAATGAAAACACATTATTTTTTTCATGTCAAGATTAATAACAATACATTACTTTCATTTCAAGTCTAATACATAACTTTTGTTACAAGCCAATGGAAATACATAACTTTTGTTCCATGTTAAGATTAGCAACATTACATTACTTTTGTTTCATGTCAAGATTAGCAACAATACATTACTTTTGTTTCATGTCAAGATTAATTAATGACAATACATTACTTTTGTTCCATGTCAAGATTAGCCACAATACATTACTTTTGTTCCATGTCAAGATTAATGGAATACATTACTTTTGTTCTATGTCAAGATTAGCAACAATACATTACTTTTATTTCATGTCAAGATTAATGACAAAACATTACTTTTGTTACAAGCCAATGTCAAGACATTACTTTTGTTCCATGTCAAGATTAATGGCAAAACATTATTATTGTTTCATGTCAAGATTAATGGCAAAACATTATCATTGTTTCATGTCAAGATTAGCAACAATACATTACTTTTATTTCATGTCAAGATTAATGGCAAAACATTACTTTTGTTACAAGCCAATGTCAAGACATTACTTTTGTTTCATGTCAAGATTAATGGCAAAACATTATTATTGTTTCATGTCAAGATTAGCAACAATACATTACTTTTATTTCATGTCAAGATTAATGGCAAAACATTACTTTTGTTACAAGCCAATGTCAAGACAATACTTTTGTTCCATGTCAAGTTTAATGGCAAAACATTATTATTGTTTCATGACAAGATTAATGGCAAAACATTATTATTGTTTCATGTTAAGATTAATGGCAAAACATTATTATTGTTTCATGTCATTATTTCATGTTTAGATTAATGGCAAAACATTATTATTGTTTCATGACAAGATTAATGACAAAACATTATTTTTGTTTCATGTCAAGATTAGCAACAATACATTACTTTTATTTCATGTCAAGATTAATTGCAAAACATTACTTCTGTTACAAGCCAATGTCAAGACATTACTTTTGTTCCATGTCAAGATTAATGGCAAAACATTATTATTGTTTCATGTCATGCTTATTTATTCTACTTTTTTCTGAATGATGTCAAGTTTAATCATTAAACTAATGTTTTACAACATGCCAAGTTTACATGTCAAGTTTAATGACAAACTAGAAATGTGTCATTATGCCACGGATGCCCCCGCATGCAGCCAAAATTTCAAATGTTATAATATTTAGTTCCAAATTTGTTTGAACAAATTATTTTTTTCATTCTATGTTCAAAGCCCTTAAAACTTTTCAATGTTAACACAAACCATTTTTATACAATGTTCAAGGCACTGAAATTATTCAGTCTTAACCTTTTGAAAATAGCATATTGCATATTTGTAGCCAAAATAATGACTATATACATTTCCACAAAATTATGAGTGCTGAAACTGAAAGTTCAAAATTTTTCCAACATTCAGGAAAGATAAGTTTGTCCAAAATCATTGAACAACAACCAAATTCCAACTTAAACTGCTTATTCCTAAGATGTATCTATATTATTTTCAAAGTGAAAGGGACATAACTCTGCCAAAAAATCATCGAACCATGACCAAATTCAAACTTGACCTGCACATTCCTTTGACATATCCATATGTCAATTTTGAGTTGAATATGTAACACGGTTGGGTTGATAATGAACAGAAACTGTAAATTTCATATCATTTTCAAAGTGAAAGGGGCATAACTCTGCCAAAAATCATCAAACCATGACCAAATTTGAACTTGACCTGTGCATTCCTTTGACATATCCATATGTCAAATTTGTGTTGAATGTGTAATACTGTTGGGGAGATAATAAACGGAAACTGAAAATTTCATATTATTTTCAAAGTAAAAGGGGCATAACTCTGCCAAAAATCATCGAACCATGACCAAATTCGACCTTGACCTGTATTTTCTCATGACATATCCATATGTCAAGTTTGAGTTGAATGTGTTGTACCGTTGGGGAGATAATGAACGGAAACTGAAAATTTCATATTATTTTCAATGTAAAAAGGGGCATAACTCTGCCAAAAATCATCGAACCATGACCAATTTCGAACTTGACCTGTTTTTTTTTATGACATATCTATATGTCAAATTTGAGTTCAATATGTGCAACGGTTATTAAGATAATGAACGGAAACTGATGATGACGGAAGGACGGAACAGGGTAACACTATA